ATGAACATGAACTAGAATATTGACTCTTGGCTTGTCAGTGGTTTTGTGGTGAACAATGGCTCCGTGCCCTCCCTCAGGTGTCAGAAGTTTCTCAGGTAAATAATGCTCCAAAATCCATTTGTTCAATAGTTCTGAGCCCTGGGCCTGATCAAACACTGCAGAGCTCGCTGGGTGTTGACATTTGAGGAGGGAAAAGATTTCAGAGCTGCTGAGTGAGGCCACCCTGCCCTGCCCCTGAGTGTTCATTAACTTTGTGTTTTCATTTTCTCTTTTGTCATTCAGTTTCCACTGCAGGTGCTGCCACACACGAGGTGAGTGATTGTTTTGTTTTTTTTTTTTTTTTTTTTCCTGGATAAAAAGATATAATATGAGCTAAAAATATATTATATAATTACAATGTAATGACATGAGGTCAGAAAATAAATTTAATTTAATGCTGCTAATTTAAATGTTAAACTTCAATTAAATGCTGCCAATTTATTGAGATTTCAGTGAGAAATCCTGAATTTGGGATATGGGGTTTTCATAGAGTTCCCCTGAAAACTTCCAGATGTTTTCACTGTTTGGTATTCTGGGCAAGAACAAATTTTAAGCAAGAGAAATCTAGGTTTAAAAAAAAAAATTAAAATTATTTGATGATGATCCCATAAGGCTTTTTTGATGACTTTTAGCTCTTAAATCAGGTACCTGGAGATTTTAATTCTCGCTGGGGTCAATGTCTGGAAGAAAATGAGGCACCAAAGAATAAAAATCCTTCCTGGGGGTGAGCAGGAAAACCCTGGCAGAGTGGATAGTGGTGGGGAGAAAAAAATTCATCCACACTCAGAGCTGTACAGGATCTGGAAAATACAAAAATCTAAAAGGGAAGGCATCAAAATCATGGCCCCAAAATGCTGATTTCTGTGAGATTCAAGGCTGCCCTGCTTTTGCAGGTGGACTGCAGTGAGTACAGGAGGATGGAGAGGGGGAGACCCATTTATTGTGAGAGGCTCTACCAACCCTTCTGTGGCTCTGATGGCAAAACCTACAACAACAAATGTTCCTTCTGCAAGGCTGTCCTGTGAGTACTGCCATGGGCTCAGTTATCTGGGGTTTTTTTTGTTTTTTTTTAAGGGTTGTTACTTCTCTGCTCCCTTTCCTTTACCTTTACACAATATTTGTCCCATTGGTAATGTGTAAAAAAAAAAAAAAAAAAAAAAAAAAAAATCAAAAAAATGATGGTGATGTTTGGGTGATAACTGGCAGAAACTATAAAATAGGGAGTTAAAAAATATCCCAGATATTCAGGTCTGAATTTCCTATTCCAGCAGGAATTGTGAAGTTGGATATGAAAAAAATGAGTTGGATATTTGTGTGAGCAACTTCCTATTCCTGCAGGAAGAATAAAATAGAGAACTTAAAAAAAAATGACCCAAATGCTTGTGTGAGCAACCTGCAGCAGGCACTGCAAGGTTGGACACTACAAAATTCTTCCTGTTTGTGTGAAGAACTCGATGCAGGTACTGTAAGATTTAATCACTACAAAAATGACCCTGATATTTGTGTGAGCAGCTTCCCATTCCTGCAAAAACTGTAAATTTGGATGGGGAAGAGTCCAATGAGCAACACAGGCCTGACAAAACAACTGCAGCCAAAAATTCACAAGTGGTGCTGGCAATATCGTGGGTTTATGGATAAAATTCATCATTTTACAAGGAAAGCTGTTCACAGATCAGTGCCCTCAGGCCTGCTGTGAATGTTTTTGGTGTCTCCTCTGTTAGCAAAGGGTTTTAGGGGATTTTGGTGCACAAAGTGAAGCTTTCTGTCCATTCCTTTCCTTGCAGGAGGAGCAGAGGGGCCCTGCACATGAAGCAGGCAGGAGCCTGCTGAGGGAGAACAGCTCACCCAATTCCTGAATTCACCAATCCTGCTGAGGGAGAACAGCTCACACTGCCCCATCCCTGAATTCATTAATCCTGCTGAGAACAGCTCACCCAATTCCTGAATTCATTAATCCTGCTGAGAACAGCTCACCCAATTCCTGAATTCATCAATCTTGCTGAGAACAGCTCACACTGCCCCATTCCTGAATTCACCAATCCTGCTGAGAACAGCTCACACTGCCCCATCCCTGAATTCACCAATCCTGCTGAGAAAAAGCTCACACTGCCCCATCCCTGAATTCATCAATCCTGCTGAGAATCCTGAATTTCCTCCCTCCAGCCCAGCCCAAGGAGAATTTCCAGCTCTGCTCTGTCACTGCTGCCTCTCTCTGCCCCTGAGCTGGGATTGACATTCCTGTCCTTGCAGCAAAACCGTTCCTGCTGTTTTACACCAGCCCTTTGTTAGATGTTTGTCTCCATGGCTGAAGTTCAAATCCTCTGAGCATGCCCCAATCTCTCCCCCTTGTTGATCAAATGTTTTCTTTTCTTTACCCAGAAACTTTTTCCCAAATGGTTCAGCTTTCCCTGGCAGTGCTTTGACTCTCCCAGTTTTGTAGTTGAATTTTAAATGCTTATTTTTCATCTCTCTACCAATTCTGGTTCCTGTATGTTGTTCAGCTACTCTGTGTGCTTGTTTATTAAAATAAACCTTCACTCTTTTTTTTTTGTCCATGGTGAACTTTCTGAAGAATTTATTGCATCCCAACAAGTATTTCCCAAATTACAGAGAATTCTGGTGGAGCAGGGGCTGAGTCCTGAGGCAAAAATCCAAAGCCTGGGATACAAAAGTTGTATCTCCCTACATGGCTTCCTATACTGGAATTTACCCCCCAGTCTGGCTCTTTTTTTGCTTTAAATGACACAAATCTGGTAAAATGTAGAAGTCTGTTAAATCCTGTCATTTAAATGTGAACGTTCATTAATCTTTTCACCTGACAAATTTCAGACTCTAAAGAAATTGATGTCCTGCTTTTACATCCTTATCATCTTCACTGTTTAACTCATTTGTGTCTTTTATTCAATGCTTGGTCATGGGAATGTATTTTCCCAGAATAAAAATTTTGAATGACTGCCCTTATTGGGCTTCCAGGAGGAAAATTTTGGAACAGCTGGACACAGAACAAATCCAGCCCTTTCCTGAATTCTGTTTATGTGGAAACCAGGTCCCAGCAATTAGGCAGCAGGAATAAAAAATGAGGAAGGTAATATAAAAGTTCCTCATAGCTCAGAGGCTTCAACCAAAAGAAGTTCCTAGAGCAGATCAAAAAGATAAAAGTGAGAAAACAAAGATCAAATTGAGAAAACAAAGACAAACTCTGAGGCTTCATCCTTTCAGAAAATCCAGATATGTGGATTTTTTGCTGCCTTCCAGCCTCAGTGGATATTCCCACCCTCTGCTTTGGTTTTGTTGGGATATTTAATGGGCTGTGCTTGTGCACCAAACCTAAGACACCAAATTTCTCATGCAGCCCCAGGAATGATTCAAGTGCAAGTCAGAGATGTAAAAGCACACCCCCTGCATTTCCCCTGGGACCGACCTCACTTTGTCCCTGATCCTTTCTGCCATGGAATTACCGAGGCAGGAGCAGCTGGAGAACAGGACTTTCCCACATGGCTGCTTTTGCTCAGCTCAAAGCTGGCAGATGTGAGAGAGGCACAGCAGCTCCTGCCACATACCAGAGCACAGAACATCATCTGCAAATTGCTGCCAATGACACCCGGAGGAAATGCTGGAGTGGCTGGACAGGCTGGACAGTCGAGTGTGGGGGATGGAGCAACGCCATGGAAATGTGGGGAAGGGGAACGTGAGCAGAGCCTGAGAGAGCTGATGGAACTCACGAACTTCTGTAAGACAAAATAAAATATTGGTGAGGGGAACAGAACAGATCTTGCACTCAGGGAAGGTTAGAGTGCAAAACTCTGCACTGCAAAGGTATTTCAATACCACTGGTGTATCTTTATATCTGATGAAGGACATGGAAGGGTTTTCCTGAGGTCTGACAAAATATTTTATTCATGAAGACAAGAGCTCATGAAATCCAGGCCTGGAAATCAGACAGTGGGACCCCTGCAAAAAGCAAATGCCAGTGTCAGAATAAACCTGGCTGGGCTTAAACCATGGCATCATTCTCACCTGTGCTCGTGCACCTGAGGGGTTTGGCTTTGGGTACTCAGAGATGTTCTCTGAGAAGCTGTCATTGTGAAATGTCGAGGTTTTGCTCGCTGCCTCTTGTGTAATTAATGTCTCCTTTGGCCATCAGGAGTGTCCCAGGCCAGGCTGGATGGAGCTCTGGGAACCCTGGGACAGTGGAGGAGGTCCCTGCCCATGGCAGGGGCTGGAATGAGATCTCTGACCTTCCAAGCCCAACCATTCCATCATTTACCATCACTTGGGATGGAGAACATTCATTCCCTCAGAAGAGAAAAGCTTAAAAACGTCTCTTAGGGACGCTGCTAAGTTTGTGGGGTGCAAAATTTTGGGGTTTTAAAGGAAGGCATTAATTCCCTCAGGCCTCTTATTTTTGATTCATGAATACCTGCGTTAGAGAACCAAGATTATGAAAACCCCCTAATATAGAAATATAGTTATATATATAGTTTATATATATATTTATAATATAAATATAAAATATAAATTGTGCATGTCCAAATAGCTTCCACCAGCTGTACATGAGAAACAAGAAATGCAATGTGCTCATTTATTTTGCAGCTGATCAAGACCAGAACAGAATTTTTACTGATGACTGTTCAACATCTCTTATTTCTGATTGTTTTCCTTTGGCTTTTAGTTCAGATATCATTGGGTGCCTCAAATTCTAAATTTTCCCACATATGGCAGAGGAGGGAGAAAGAAACAATCCAAAAACCTTCAAATATTCAAGTACAGGTCATCTATGGGATAAATCACAAGGTTTCTGTTAAGAAAAAAAAACGGGGTGGTTTTGGTTTCTGTTGTCTGTCTTGTAAGCACTTCACCATTCACATTCTCTGACTGTTTCAATGACACTTCAAGCCCAAGGCCCTGCCCAAATTCCTTAATTCCATTTAATGTCTCCCGTGTCCTTTGAGCCACCTCCTGTGGCTGCCACCCCCTGTGTCCCCTGCCTTGGGGTGAGGGAGGGCAGGACAAGCTCTGCTGGACCTGAATCTGCTCTTCCCACAGCAAACCTCACTTGTCTCATTTTTTTGGGTCTCATTTTTTGGGTGTTCTGTTGTTTTTGATGCTGTGCTGCTGTCACGGGTTGGACTCTGAGGTCTTTCCCAACCTCAGTGATGCTGTTGACACATCCAAAATCCACAGGGATTGCCGAGAATTTATTTTGTTATTCCCACCCTGCCACAGAACGTTGTGGATTCCTGAATCACTCAACCAGCAGCTGAGTCTTTGCATGTTGTCATTCACAAAAAATAACTCTCAAACAGTCTGCTGGCTGATGAACAAGCCTTGTTACCCAATCCCTCGGGGTTTGCATGAAACATGACTTTAAAATGTTGAGGAAATTGTGATTTCTGCTGGGATCCACCCAAACACAGTGATTAAAACATGGCTTAAGTACTGCAAATACACGTGGGAGGCAGCTGGCAGGACTTTAGGGGCCAGGGTGAAGACTCTTGAGGAAAAATCACTTTTAAAGCTCCCAGAGAACATCCAGAGGAGGGACACGGGGATGGGGAAGGGTCTGGAGGAGACCCAGGGGAGACTCCTTGGGGTCTGCAGCTCCAATCTCTGGGACAGGGACAGCACCCAGGGAAGGGCTGGGATGGATTTTGGGAAAGATTCTTTCTCCAGAGGGTGCTGGGCACTGCCCAGGCTCCCAGGGAATGCCAGAGCTCCAGGAGTGTTTGGACACCGCTCCAGGGATGTTCAATGTGGGATTTTGGGGCTGTGCTGGACCGGATGATGACGGAATCGTGGAATGGTTTGGGTTGAAGGGACTTTAAAGCCCATCTCAACCCACCCGTGCCACGGGCAGGGAAACCTCCCAGAGCCGCGGCTGCTCGGAGCTCCATCCACGGTGATCCCCGTGTGTCCCTCCCGCTCGGCACGGCTGTGACAGAAACCGCTCGCTGCCATAACACTTTATTGAACGGCATCCCTCTCGCTGTGCCGAGCTCTGCCAGAGCCCTGAGTGCCGCCCTCAGAGCCCTGAGTGCCGCTCTCAGAGCCCTGAGTGCCGCCCTGAGTGCCACCCTCGGCTCCGCCCTCAGAGCCCTGAGTGCCACCCTCGGCTCCGCCCTCAGCTCCGCCCTCAGGCTGGCGGGGGCGGGGCCGGCAGCGCGGGCGGAAGTGGGGGTGCGGAGGGGCCGGAAGCGGAAGTACGGAGAGGACGGAAGCGGAAGCGGCGGCGCTGGCGGAAGGGGCCGCGCAGGAAGCGGGGCCGGGGCTCCCCCGCGGCCACAACCGGGGCGAGGGCGGCGAGGGGAGCGAGGGCAGGTGAGGACAGCGAGGGCCAGGGGATGGCAGCGAGGGGCAGGGGACGGGGACGCGGCTGGCTCGGCCCCCGGGGCGGCGGGGCGGGGAGCCGGAGGCTGCCGCTCCCTCCTCGGGCCGTCCCCGCTGTCACAGGCCCCGAGGGCCCCCCCGTGAGTGACCGGCGGTGATGGGGCTCTGGGGAAACCTGTTTTTCCATCGCTTGTCTCGGCACAAATCACCGCGTCCTCGCGTTTTCCCCTCCGCTTCGGGCGCGCCCCTCTGGATCCAGCGGCTGCCAGGCCGTCCCTGGCTGCTCCCGCCGTGTTTTCCCTCATTTTGCGTTTCTGCGGAGTCTCCCCGTGGCTTTTTAAGCTTTTTAAGGTCCGTGCGGTGTTTACTCATCCAGAATAGAGCACGTCGAGCTGTTGTTTCGTGCGACGTTCATTGTCGGGAATTAATTGAGGTGGGGGCCGCAAAATCCCATTTGCTTTATTAAATATATCAAGATCTTTTTTGCTGTGAAGATTTGTTTTTTATTTTTAAATGGGGCCGGCTCGCTAATGTTGAATGGAGTGTCAAAGCTCTGCTCATTAGCTCAAAATAACCCCAGGAGGAGCTTTTATTGTGCAGAAACTGCAGACTCATGGAGACAAATCCTGCTTTTCCCCCTTCATGGCAGGGCCGGGTTGTGCTCGTTGGAATTGTGTCTTACAGGATTTTTCCTGCTTTGCTTGTTAATATTTTTATTTCTCTTGTCTTTTGTCCCAGTCCTTTTGCAGTTCTCTTTCCTGCTGGATTGTACCCAGCACATGGCTGTGCCAGTCTGGAAGTTTTTAGCTTGTGTTGCAATCCTCTGTTCTAATTGAGTTATCCCAGGTGACTGAAATCGATGTTTTCCTTGGAATTCACTCTATAAATAATTAATTTGGGGCTTTATGAGGTTGCTCACCCCAAACTGAGCCCTTCCAGCCTGCCCCTAAAAGGACAATAAACACAAGCTCCTGGCTGGAGAATTCCCCCAATCCAGAGAAGCAGAGATCCATTCAAACAATAAAACCAGAGGCCTTGCTGAAAGCTTTACCAAAATCTGTTTTTTTTTATTTTATTTTACCAGTTGTTTTTCCTCAATCCACTGAATTTTGGCATCCAGCCTGTTAAACTCGGGTTCACTGAGCTGCTGATGCTCTGCCCTCCTCATTCTTGTTCTTGTGGTAGAATAAAAGAAATCTTTGGCAGGTGCAGTCGTGGAATGATCTCTCAGCATGTGTAAATGTTGATTTTCTGTTAGCATTTATTTTATTTGAGTCTCTGTTGCCTCTCATGATAACTGTGGGTGTTTTTACACAAAGCTTTGTGGTTCCAGTGCTGTGTGTGCTGCAGTGTGGAGGTCACAGTTCAGGAAGGAGCAGAGCACGCTGCTTTCAAACAGTGACTCTCAATTTTTCCATGGCTTTGGTCTTTAACTCAGCAACCTGAATATTTTACTTGGTGTTCTCACCTCAAAGAGGAGCTGTTTTGAGGGCTTTTAATGGGGCATTTTTGTGGAGTGATCAGCAGGAGCTCATTTTTTCAAAAAAGTAAAATGATTTTTTTTGCTGGACAGACTTTGGACTTTTATTTTGTGCTGGAATGTTGGTGGTGGTGCTGAGCTGGTGATCTCTGCAGAGCTTCCCTGTGACTGTCTTGATCTCAGGGTGGATTCATTGAAGTTTTTTTAATTGATAAAAAGAACTGATCTGTGGTTAAACCTGTGGTGATTTTTCTTCATCAATCCCTCAGCTGAGAGTCTGGTTTGTCTCATAATCCTCAGGTTTTGCCTGAACCCTTCTGTCTAATCAAACCACAACTTGTTTTTTGCAGTTGAGCTGCTGTTGCCTCCTTTGCTGTGTCCCTTTTGTGTTTCAGTTGCCCTGAATTTCATAACTCTGTGCCCATTTCCTCCCAGCAGAGCTCGGTGCAGAGATGGGGCCCCGGCGGAAAACTGTGAAAGCGAGCGCAGCCAGCAGGGATGGGGCAGAATCGACCAAAGCTGAGGAGCCAAAAGATTACATGAACCAACTCTCTCATGAAGTGCTTTGCCACATCTTTAGGTGAGCAGCCTGGCAGAAATCAATTTAGGGCTTATTATTTTAGATTCTTGATTTTTTTTTTTTTTCTTCAGCTTTACCTGTTTGTGACACAATAAACGGTGGATGTACCACGACTGGACTGGTAGATTAAAAGGGATGACAAATGGTTTTTTCAATCTCCAAAATTCATTTGGTACCTGAAAATTAATTTATGTGAGTGTCATGAATGTTAGAACGAAGGAGAAATAAATAAGTGATGTAATTCTGTTCTAAATACTGATTTTAGAGCAGAAATACACTTTGAGTGGGGAACGGTTGAGATGATTGTTTGGGAATTGTTTCATCTGCAGAGGGGATCTGGGATGAGGATGTGACCTCCCCTACAGCAAAGTTCTTCTCCCAGATATTCACTCAGCCCTATTAGCCAAAACACAATAGGTTGTTCATACATAACAAGTTCTTGGAAAACAGCAGCTCTCCAAAATATCTGGAAATTGAGCTGCAGTATGTGCTGGAAAAAAAAAACCAAAACAACTTAAATCAGATCTGTTGAGACAAATGGCTTGGTTAGCAGTGTCTGGGTTGGTTTAAATTAACTGTAAGGAAGGAATGGTTCCCTGTGAGGGTGGGCAGGGCTGGCACAGGGTGGCTGCCCCTGGATCCCTGGCAGTGCCCAAGGCCAGGCTGGACATTGGGGTTTGGAGCAGCCTGGGATGAGACTGGATGAGATTTAAAGATTGAAGATACAACCCAACCATTTTGTGATTCACCAGAGAACCAAACCATCAGTGCATTTAATAATGACATTTGTGTGAATATTCCATAATCAGGGTCAGGAACTGCTGAGTCGCTGTCCTTAGCAAAACTCCACTTTTAACGAGAGCCTGACGGTTCCGTGTGAGCAGCGCTGGAAATGCCCCCATTGCTGCCAGCAATGCCAGGCTGTGCCAGCTTTGTGCCAGCTTTGTGCCAACTTTGTGGCAGCTGGAAGCTGAAGCAGGGGCTGCTTTTGCTGTCCCCAGGTACCTGCCCTTGCAGGACATCATGTGCATGGAGTGCCTGTCACGGAAGCTGAAGGAGGCGGTGACGCTGTACCTGCGCGTGGTCAAGGTGGTGGATCTGTGTGCGGGGCGTTGGTGGGAGTACATGCCCACAGGTGAGCTGCTCCTCCCCTCACCTGTGCACAGCCAACCTGGCACTGCCTGCATGCTGCCTTCCTTTGCCTCGAGGAAATGGCTTTGCCGAGTTTGTGTCCGTGGGTAAATACCAATTTGGAGTTGGTGATGGTGGTGTATTAGGTCATAGGTTGGATTTGATGATCTCAAAGGTCTTTTCCAACTCAGTTCATTCTGGGTTTCTGTGTGCTCTGCCAATACAATCTGTGTTTGTCTGGTTGTTGGAAGGGAGTTTATCCAGGGGTTATGCCATGAAGAGGCTGTTTGCATTCAGGCAGCCAAAAATACAATGGAGTGAGAGAGCAACTCATCTGCCAGCACTTAACAATGTAAGGATAAGTTTTGATGTCACACCTCGAGTCTCCTGCAGATCAGTAGATAAATTTGTCAGTCTGGGTGAGCCCTGTGAGTACCAGGATTTCTGCTGGGTTTAAATTGCACTGCTGGGATTTGATGGGGGACACAGCTAAAATGAGAGGATTTACAAATTGACTGTGGCTGGTATTAAGCAGGTGTTTAGACCTAACCTAAAATTGGTGTAAATGCAAGTAACTTACCCAGTTAAAATCCTTTTTATGTGCTGTCTTTCACTAGAATAAAACAAACCTTTCCTTTAAGAAACCATCCTGTTTCTGTGAGAAATGTGAGCTGTGGTGAATAGTGAACTGAAATAAGGGATCCAGCTGGGATTTTTTTGAGGCATGGAGTTGATAAATGGAATTCCAGGAAAAATAGACCCACAAAGCTTCATGTGAGGAGGGAGAGAGCACAGTGAACCCTGCAGCCATGCAGCTCCTCTGAAGGAAACCTGTAGCAAACCTGCAAAATTCAAGGCAGAGGAGTATTTAGATCATGATTTCTAGAATGTGGAAGTAAAAGAAAAACTATTGCTTCACCAAGTGCATCTTTTCAACATCCCAGAACTTGTACTGCCACATAAAGAGAGAAGTGTTTGGCTTTCCCTTCACAGCTGAATGTCTGCTGCCACACCAATACCAAATTTGTTGTTGTCTTAGGTTTCACTGATTCCAGCTTCCTAACGCTGCTGAGGAAGATGCCAGACATTGAACAACTTTATGGTCTTCATCCCAGGTATCTGGAAAGGCGCCGAGTCCGTGGCCACGAAGCTTTCAGCATTCCTGGAGTTTTAGAGGCTTTGCAGGCCTGTCCAAATTTGCTGGTGAGTGGCTGGACTTGGGAGAGAACCTCCTTCAGCACTGTTAAAAATTATGGCATGGAACTCGGTGCTTCCAGGGGCATTGGTTTAAGGAGTTAATTGTGACCCTGTTTGCTAATGACATCTATTTTTAGTTGCACCAAGGGGAATCCCGGGTGCTCTTAAGCCCAGCAAGGAATTAAAGCTCTGATCCCTCTGCTTTGAAAAACACAAGTCTTGCTAGAAATGCCAAGTGAAATAACGTTGCATTCTGTAGTTTACATGGTTAAGAGGATGTTTTTGTTGAACTGGTGTTAGAGCATTTGCTTTGCTTCCTTTTATCCAGGGTGTTGAGACCTCTCATTTAGAGCTGGTGGAAGCTATTTGGACATACATGCCCCAAGTCCACATTTTAGGGAAGTTTCGTAATCGTAATGGTGCTTTTCCAATTCCTCCTGAGAACAAGCTGAAAATTCCTATAGGAGCTAAAATTCAGACTTTGCACTTAGTAGGTGAGTGTGGTCGTGGTGAAGGACTTGGCTTCAACACAGGTGGATTTAAAGGCTTTGAAACTCTGCAGATGTGTAATTCTTTGGAGGAGAGGGAGTTTGGGCTGTGGCATCTTGGAGAGATCTTAGCTGGATATTTGATAGCAGGTGCAGAGGGCAAATTCTAAAGAATTCTTGACAAACCAAGGTGAAGAACTTGTGCTTCAAGTGCTCACAGCTTTTCTCAGCCACAAAGCACAGAAAAGCTTCCTTTTGAAAGCCAGGAATTTGTCATGCAGAGGATTAGTTCGAAGCTTGTTTAAAATGTTTGTTTGTTTTGTTTATGTATTATTAGGGGTGAATGTCCCTGAGATTCCTTGTATCCCAATGCTGAGGCACCTTTATTTGAAGTGGGTGAGACTCACCAAACCACAGCCTTTTAAAGATTTCCTTTGTATCAGCTTACGGGCTTTTGTCATGAGGAACTGTGCTGGTAAGAGGGATTCTTCTGTCTCAAGGGGATGGTAGAGCATGGAGGAAATCTGGTTCTGTTAAACTCTTGGAATTCCACATTCTGAGAGCAGCCTTTGTTTGATTTGTGGTGTTGGACACAAATCTCTCCCTGTCCTGTCCCTTCCTTGGTGCTGTATGGTTCTGTTGACTTCCTGCTCTAGAGGGATATTGGGGATGTGTTTTAGTTCTTCCATGGGATAATTCAGGGAGGAGTGAACAATCTGCTTTGTCTTTCTGGCCTTGTTGTGTGCAGGTCCCACAAACTCTCTGAAGTATGTTCCCCTGGTGACAGGCCTGGCTTCTGCCAGGAATCTGGAGCACTTGGAGCTGGTCCGTGTTCCATTTCTTGGAGGACTTATCCAGCACGTGGTAGAAGACAGCTGGAGATCAGGTGGGAAACTCCTAATCTCTCATACCTAAAAAAAAAAAAAAAAAAAAAAAAAAAAAAAAAAAAAAATCAATCAAATCTTTAGCAAATTCTGGGAGTCTTTTATCTGTAGAATTTTCTTTTTTGAGTGTTTGGAGCTATGCTCGTAGTGCTAAATATGCTCTGCATTGGGTACAATTTTGATACTCTAACTGCAATTAACTCTTAATGAGCTGCATTTGTTGATGAGCAGAACCAGGATGTTTTCTTGATTTGCTAAGAGAGTGAAGACAGCACTGGTGAAAATGTGTAGGGCTGAGGGCTGTGATGTGGGGCTGAAGTGTAAGAAGGGTGTTCTTTCTTTGCCAGGTGGTTTTAGGAATTTGCACACTATAGTTCTGGGAGCTTGCAAGAATGCACTTGAAGTGGATCTTGGCTACCTCATCATAACTGCTGCACGAAGGTACCTCCCTTCACATCTCTCTTTGCTTCTCCTCTTTCAAAAGAAACATCTTAGAAATGACATCAAGAGACAAAACAACCATCACAATTTAAGGCACACACATAAATTGCATAACAAGAGTGTTCTGTGATTAAAATAACTGCAAATACCCTCTGAGTCTGTGTTTTATTAGAACAGGGCACCTTGTTGAGTGTTTTCTGTGGTTTGGCCTGAATTTTGATAGGAGCAATTCTGAATTCCCTGCAGGTTGCACGAAGTGCGGATCCAGCCTTCCCTGACCAAAGATGGTGTTTTTTCTGCTTTGAAGATGGCTGAACTGGAATTCCCACAGTTTGAAACTCTTCACCTAGGCTACGTTGATGAGTTTTTACTACAGTGTATGACACTTTTTATATCCATAAAAAACCATAAGGATCACAGAAATTGCTGTGGTTTTAATCAATAAGAATATTAATGTTGCACGTATTGAGGCTGCTGATCTCATAACAGCCACATCTGGTTTTTCTTCACTCCCTGAAATTGGGAAAGCTGAGCTTTATGAAAGGAATGATCTGATCAATAAGGAATTAGAAAATCCTGCTATAAAAGGCAAATTTAGTGCTGTGTCTGCTCCTCTCTTTTATAGGTAAAATGACGAGTACGGACTTGGTGAGGTACGGCTTGGCTGAGGTGGTTGAAAACCCAGGAATTATTACAGATATTGGTATGAAAGCTGTAAATGAAGTTTTTTCTTTCATCAAGTATCTGGTCATTTACAACTGCCCACATCTACATAACCCAAATAATTGGATCACAGGTATTGCACACCTTTAAAATTTCAGAGCTATTATATGAATTTCTGTGCTAAACCAGAATTTCTCTGCTCTAGTACTGCTTGTTCTGTTGTTAGTAAGTACAGTAGATGATGCTTGCTTTGGGGCCATGGTGATGCTGGGAGCAGGATGGAAATCCAGAGGATGAAAAGGGGGATAATGAACAAGGATTGAGGTGGGAATCCCTCAGGAATGGCCTCTCTTGTGTTCCCAGACCACTCGAGGTGGACCCGCCTGGTTGACCTGACCCTGGTGAGGTGCCACGCCATCAAACTGGACTCCTTCAGTCAGTTCATCGAGTTACTGCCAAGCTTGGAGTTCATTTCTCTGGATCAGATGTTTAGAGAGCCTCCAAAGGTAAATTCCAGACAAGTTTTGGCTTTTTTTCATTGCCAGGATTTTTGCTTGTTTCCATTTCATTGGTAATCCAATGTGCTCTTCTCAAAGTTGTCATTAATTGAAGAGATTGCTAATAAATTACTTTGATTTGCAGTAGCTTTTGGCATGATGTGCTGGGGAGATTGATGTTGCTTCTGTAAATGGGAGCAGTGACAAGGAATGAACATGTGCCCAGAAAATAAAACTCACTGATTCTACTCAAAGTAAAACTCACTGATTCTCTCAAGGTCGCTGCTGTTATTTCACTCTGCTGCTGCTTTTTATGTTGTTTTTTCCTCTGAGGCCTCTCTTTACAATACTGAGAAGTTTTTATGATTTTTTGATGGGTGTAATGGGGGCAGTGTTTCAAAGCTTAGGAATTTAATTTCTTCACGTTGTCCCTTCCCACACTGTAACACAAATCCTTGCTATAAGCTGCTGGCAGGCAATGAGAAGTATAAAACCTGCTGCCTTTGGTCATTAATAGTTTAATTAATAACCAATTTACCTTTACCTCAAGGCTGCTGTGTGCTGGGAAGACTCTGATCTGCTGTTTGCATTCATGTCATGAAATGCATGATTTGCCACAGCAAATAAATAGATTAACACAATTAATAGGTTCAAATTAAGTGCTTTGTGGACTTTCTTTGAGGACCTTTATTAGGAGTTTAACAGTGTGAGGTCTGGGTGCCAGCCTGAAGATGGATCTCTGCAACCAGGAAACCTGAGGGACAATTTCCCTGTTTTTTTGTGCTGTCCCAACCAATTCCAGCAGAGTGGTTTTCCTGGTGCCTTTAGGGAATGTTGAGGTAACGAGTCTGTGTTTTCAAATCTGAATTTCTGCTCTTTGTTTCCAGGGCTGTGCCCGTGTGGGCCTAAGTGCAGGCACAGGAATTGGGGTCTCCTCTGCCCTGGTGAGCAATCAGAACTCCAACAATGACAATGACAACAACAACAACCACCAGAACAACAACAACAACAACCCCAACATCCACCACAACAACCACCAGCACCCCAATGAGCAGAACGAGGAGAACGAGCTGCACCAGGAGGGCCCTGCTGAGGAGCAGCAGATTGGGGCAGAGGGTAATTCTGGGGGGGATTTGGGGGGATTTGCATCTGGGGACAGTCCTGGGGGAGCTTTTGGGGGGGATTTGAGGCTGAGGGTAATCCTGGGGGAGATTTTATCTGCATTGCCACTCACACAGGCTCCTGGTGAAGATAGGAATATACATTGAAAACTTGTTGTTCATTCAGCTCTTGGTGTGGAGCTTTAATCTTTTCTGAGTGAGTTAAACCCCAGAAGTTAGGGTGGGCTTTGGCTCTAGAGATATAGAACAAATCTGTGAGAAGCCAGAGGCTCACCAAAGGAATCAAGGCAGTTATTAATTTATTTCTTGTGGATGTTTGAGGGCTCTCAATTCTGTTTCCTATTCCTGTTGCCCTTTGCAGCCCTGAATGAGATGGAGGAGGTGGCACAGGAGGAAGGGGAGGCTGCTGGGCAGGGCCAGGATGAGCTGCCAGCTCCCAGCCAGGCTGTTGTTCCCATGGAGGTGGATGAGGAGCAAGCAGGTAACTGAGTTTGGGATGAAATCACCTCCTGGTGTCTCCCTGAGGGATTAATTTCCCACTGTAAGTCTGGTTTTGGATGTTTTGCTTCAGCTGGGTTGTCTGATTGTGAATAAGGATGTTGGCACAGCTTGGTGCTGTGAGGGGGTTTATTCTGTGCTCCAGCCCAGAGCTTTCTTTGCATGTGCAGGGAAATACCTTGACCTTAAAGCCTGATTTTTGTGCTCAGTTTAATAAAATATATATGTAAGTATAATAAAAGTCAGAAGGTCTGAATGAACTTGTCCTGTTGCTCTGGTCATGGCCTTAGTTCTTTCACTGCAGCACTTGGGTTGATTTTGCTTTTTCTCAAGCCAGCACAACTTATTCCAGTGTTAATTTAATTTGTATTAGTGACACAAGTAGTCTTGATTTCTTTTATTGCCACTTTTTGCTGGACAATATAATTTACTACTGAATATCCCAACAACATGAAGTGACACTCCATTGTGACACTCTTCCCCTTCCAAACCAGAATGCTTTAATGCTGAAATGCAGTATTTTGCTCTTCTCCCATTTAGATTTTAATGAGGCACCCACAGCATGGGTGGCTAAATCGACTCCAATTAATTCCTTACCAGTTTTTCAAGCAGTGCTAAAAGTTTTTCAGCCCTTTAATCAGTGCTTGGTTAATTTTTACATTAAATGCTGATATACTCCTTCTCAGGACCAAGTGGAATTCAACCTGTTGTAAAAGCAACTCCTATTACCATCCATGATTCAGACAGTGAGGATGAGGAGGAAAACATGAGCACTTCCAGAGTCTGCATCTCCAGCAGCATTGCACAGAGTTACTCAGATGGGGAAGAGAAGAGCAGGGATCCCGTGGAAACCAGAGAACCTTCAGGTGGGCAACATTCATTCCTGAAAAATCTGGAAACATTCTTCAGTCCTTCCATGTGGTGCAGGCTCATTTCTGGCTTGTTTGGAATGTAGAATGAAGGTGTAAGGACATATTTTGGGCTCCAATCACTGGTCTTGTGCAGAAACACAAAGAGTGGTGCTGCACTGATCAGAAACCTGCAGCTCCTCTTTGGGATTCCCGAGGGGACAGGATTTATCAAGCCTGTGAGCCCACAGCGTGGATGTCACTTCTGGTTTCTGGGGGGGAGGAATCTGTGTTTGGAGAGAATCTGCAGCAGTTTCTGTGCTGCCAGTATTGGCAGTTAGAGGCTTGGGGTATTGTAATGAGCTGAGAGGATTAAGACAGACATTCAGGAGGAATTCCTGCTTGGAAAGGATGTTCAGGCCTTGGGACTGCCCAGGGAGGCTTGGATCCCTGTCCCTGGAGGTGGCACTGAGTGCTCTGGGCTGGGGACAGGGTGGGGATTGGGCACAGCTGGGACTGGGTGGGCTGGGAGGGCTTTTCCAACCTCAGGGATCCTGGGCTCAGGTTCTGTTATGGTTTGTGTGGTTTTTATTCTGCCCAGACCCAGGAGGGGGAGCTGAGGGCTGCTGCTGAAATGTGAACTTGAGTCTCTGCTCCTGTTTGATTGCTCAGATGTATTCCTCATATTGAAGGAAACAGAAACCTCTCTAGGTTAGATATTAGAAAATAATCCCTGCCTGGAAGGGTGGGCAGGCCCTGGCACGGGTGGCTGCCCCTGGATCCCTGGCAGTGCCCAAAGCCAGGCTGGACATTGGGGCTTGGAGCAGCCTGGGACAGTGGGAGGTGTCCCTGCCATGGCTGGGGTGGCACTGGATGAGGTTTAAGGTCCTTCCATCCCAAACTATTTTGCATTCTTTGATTCTGTTATCAGTGTGTCTTTCCTATTGTGCCTGTGTGAGCAGTGAGCTGCTGGGGGACAATTTGGTTTTTTCGTGTGGCAAACCCTCTAGCACATCACTCCAAAAATAGCTGCAAAGTCTTACAAAGATGCAGCAGCAGCTACAAATACTGCTAATTGCCATTCCTGTGGAGATTGCCATTGGGCTCTGGGCTGCTCTGTGTTTCCAGCACAGGAACACTCAGGTTTATTTATTGTTTATTGTTATCCCTTCACTCCTGCAGTGAGCGGCAAAGGCAAGACCCCCCTGAGGAAAAGATGCAGCAGCAGCCACGGGGGCCAGGCCAAGCAGTTCCCCGTGGAGGAGAGCAGCTGTGAGAAGGGCTGCCAGGTGACCAGTGAGCAGATCAAAGCTGACATGAAAGCAGCCAGCGACATGCCTGAGAGGAGCAAGACAAAAGATTCCTACGGCAGCTGCGGCAACGCCCCGGCATCCACGGCGACACCCGGCTCGTGCAGCGCTGCTTGTCCCCGCCCTGACTGTGCCCAGGCAGCCCAGGGCCACTCGGCCGCGCAGGAGTGCGGGCAGTGTGGCTGCTGTCCCTGCAGGAGGGATGGCTGCAGTGACACGGAGCCCCAGGAGAGCTCCGTGTGTTCCCGCTGCTCCTCCAGGGCCAGGACGAGCGGGGGGTGTGATGGGGACAGCCCCTCCACGAGTGGAGCCTGCAGGGACGGGTCAGATTTTGCACTGGGGACGCTGCCAGACTGCGGTGGGGCTGCAGGAGAGCCTGGCGAGCACAGGACTAGTGGGAGTGCCCGTGGGGCTGGAAGGCAGGAGCAGAGCACACAGCCCCCGGGCTGGGAGCTGCACTGCAAGGAGGAGTACCCACGGAGACCCCTGACCAGGGCCAGGAGCAGACTGTCCCACGTGCCCCTGGTGTCAGAGCCAGGTAGGATTTACTCACAGAGTAAAGGCTGAGTATGTGCAGTGCTGCCATGAGACAGCTCTGAGTAACTGCAGCTCCCCCAGGGAGCTCTGATGTGCTGATTGTCAGTCAGGGATTTAAACCCGAGTGGTTTGAAAGGGTCAGAGCTCCCTGGAACACAGGAGCCATCACCAGGTCAGCTCAGGTTTCTCTGAAAGTGTCACTGACTTTTTCCTCCATGCAGCTCTTTCTGTTTGTGTTCTCCATCTCATCTCCAGGATTTGCTTTACTCCTTTGAAAATGCAGGTTTTTTTTCTGCCTGTGAAGGCTGTGATTCATTGAAACAGAAGTTGTCTCTCCATTAAAATCCTCCCTGCAAAGGCAGCAGCCACACTTAGATCTGAACAAGGAGGCAAAGGTTACAACTGGAGCTTTATCAACCAATAAAGTCATAATTATAATTGAGCCAGGCTTTTGGACCTGCACTGGCTTCTGCTTCCAAGAGTTTAAGGCAGGGTGATCAAATTTAGTAAAAATTGTCCTTGTGTTAAACACCTTCATGCTTCACATTATTGTTCTGTTCATCTGACATAAAATAAAACCCCTGAAGGGCTGGAATGAAAGGAGAAAACAACAGATGTGAGAGGGGAACTTGCTGTTTCTTTCAAATAGACTTGGTTTCCAAAATAATCATCTTAGTCTGGCACAACCTCATATATCCAGGATTCTTTGCTGGGAATATCTGGCAGATAAAATGAAACTGAAAGATGAAATGTGCTGAGTGTTGGAGGTAAGGAAGTTTGAGGGCAAATTCCTGCCTCAAACATTTCATATCTTGGTGGTTTTCCAGTTTATTTAATGCTCCCAAGTGTTAACAAAACCTAAATCACCTCAGATGTTCTGCAGGTAGGAGCAGTTCAGGTTTCAAGGAGAGATCTTGCTATTAAATTTAAAATGTCTGGTTTCTACCTTAGGACCAGTAATTAATCTTTGTGCACATGCCATCTGTTTTAATAAAGAAAGCTTAGTTTTAGTAAAATAATTTATTTTAATCTGTTAATGACAGAAAATTAGTTTTTCTTAATTATTTTTTTTTCTCTTCCTGTTGGAAATAATGCTTGTGGTGATTTCTTTTCAAAGACTCATCTGTTTAAATCAAGCAGGAGTTTGAGGTCCCTGCTGGAGCTTGGGAACATCAAAGGATTTTACACCTGGGCATCCTTTGCAATATTAGGGAAAACTTAGTGACAGTTACAAAGAACAGATTTTCCAGAAGTTTGAGATAATTTCTGCTATTTAAACATTAAAGCTATTTTGGGTCTTGTATTTATCAAGGATGTTCTGTTTCCTGCAGAGATTCAAGTGTAACCTAACCATGAATCTTTTCTTCTCCTGGCTCCACATCTTTCTGTGCTGTAGGTTCAGCATTCCTGGGTTTTCACCTCTAAAGTTCTTTATTTGGAATAAAATAACTTTATTGAGTTAAATAATTTAATAATTGAGTTAAATCACTGAGCACAAAGCTTTGAGCAAGGAGAGTGTTTGGATTTACCTGTGTGGGAAAAGTTGTGGTGGAGCAGAGGAAAGATTTTTATCCTGACATGGAACAGAGGAAAGATTTTTATCCTGACATGGAACAGAGGAAAGATTTTTATCCTGACATGGAACAGAGGAAAGATTTTTTTTTCATGTTTTTGTTTCCAGAAGTAGCAAAGCCAAAGCCAAGGCAAACCACCAAGAGGAAAAGGACAGCTGACAAATCCACCAGTACCAGTGACCCTGTGATTGAGGATGATCATGTCCAGGTAAGAGATTTATCACCATAAACACCTGCTGGGAACTGAAGCTGTATTATATTCATTAATATCTTCCTGTATATTGTAAAATTCCATTTATTTTTCTTTCATTTTTACCCTTTCATATATTTTTTTTTCTTTTTTTTTTTTTCATTTTCCTCAGGTACTGACTTTGAAATCCAAAAACCTGGTAGGAATCACACTGACCAACTGTGGAATTACAGATTTGGTGCTGAAAGACTGCCCCAAAATGATGTTCATCCATGGTATGTGCTTCATATCACAGCTCCCTCCTCCTTCTGCCATTATTGGAAATTCCTGAAACAATTCCAGTCAGGTCACTGCTCATTTTGTATTCATCAGCTACACTGCTGATGAATTAGAGCTCCAAATATTGCTGCTTCCCATTCTGAATGGCTCTTATAACAGCTTTAATAAAGATTAATATCTGAAAATCAACAGCTGAAATGATCTGACAATTAGGGAGATGAGATGTTTGTTGAAGAGTGGTAATACAGTAATTAGAAGTTGATGAAATGAGTTTGAGTACCTTGTTTTTTCTCTCATTTCTTCATTCTCCCATGGGGTTTTTAGCTGACAGGATGATACTTTTGCTCCTTGACATGATAAAAATCTGTTTTCAGTGCTGGCACTTAAGTTGCATTAGTTTCACGTGGCAGGGTATGACAGCTCCTGGATTGGGTCATTTATTGTTCCCTGCACCATCTAAATGAAGATTTCTTCTTCTGAGATCTGTCTACTTAGCAGAAATAAAGGAATTATTTCTTTATTCCACAATACCTAGAACACACACTGATTTGGAAGGAAGTTTTGATTACAGGAGCAGTGTTGCTAGAAAGGAACCAATTTTATTTTCCATTCTGTAGCTTCCCAATCCTGTGTGTTTGAGGTGATTTTGGAAATTGTGGCAGCCCACAGACCATTTCAGTGAAAGGAAACAGAGGGAGGAAAAGGTTATTAGATGAAATTTGCCATGACCTTTTTAAAAGGCCACCTCTGGCAAGATCACAGCTGAAAAGTTTGATTATGATAATATGGAAAAAAAATGAAGAGCTGGGTTATATCTGATACATTCATATAATTTTATTTTTTTTTTTGTGGTTCTATTGCTTGTTTGCCTTCTTTTAAACCTACCAACCTTGAAATTCTCTGGCAGGAGACTCCTGAGATCTTTTCTTTCCTTTTGTAGCTACGAGGTGCCGTGTGTTGAAACACTTGAAGGTGGAAAACGCCCCCGTTGTGAATCGCTTTGACTACGCCCAGTGCAAGAAGCTGAACATGGATCAGGTGCTGGATCAGATCCTCAGGATGCCCCCAGAGAGGAACAGGATCATTTACCTTCGACCCATGCAGCAGGTACAGAACCAGCCTGGATCACCTGGCAGCTCACCTGGAGGGCTTTCACTTGGGGCAGGAAATGTTAAAACAACACAACTCTGCAATTTGGTTCCTTAAAGCCCAGCAAGGTTTTCATTGCACAATCTGCTGCTTGGATTTTAAAGATGAAATATTAAAAATTTACTATCTCCAGTATGCATTGTATTAGAGGATATTGTAAACTGCACTCTTAAAGGTGCAGGTAATATCCATATTAATGTCCATATAATATCCATATTAATGTCCATTTAATATCCATATTAATATCCATAAACAGAATAGGTGATTGGGATACAAACATCATAAAGTCCCCCTCCTGTGTAGGAGCTGGAAGCAGGGACGTTGAGGGACTTGTTGAAATCATCTGATGAGGATTGATAAGGGTTTCATTTAATATCTGGAATGTTGGATTTATCTCTCTGTGGTTCTGCTTCTCTCCTGCTTTCCTGTCTTGGTTTGCCAACAAGGGAAGGTTGATTGTACATAAAATCCAGAAAATCAGCTTTGCTCTGAAACCACATCTCTTAAAGGACAGTGATAAAAATATTAGATGGGATAAAACCCCAAATCGCTGATCCCCGACTTGTAACAAAAATTCTGAGCAATGAATGGAGTCCTAGACCAATCTGTGATTTTATGGAGTTTATTTCCACATTGGAGTGGGGAAAGACATCAGAAATTAGACATTTCCCATCCAACTCCAGTATAAATGAGAGCATAAATTGGCAAAGCTGCACTGGGGAAGCCTCACTCTCCTCACTCCTGCATTTATTTATTTGTGGTGTTCAAATTCTCCCTCATCGCTGCAATTTCTGGAGATTTGCTCTTTACTCTTCAACACCAACCCAACGTTTGTGACGCTCACAAATCCTTTATCCCCAGGTGGACACACTGAGTCTGGAGCAGAAAATCTTCAGTGGTCCCTACCCCTACCACATCTGCATCATCCACGAGTTCAGCAACCCCCCCAACGTCAGGAACAAGGTGCGGGTGCGCAGCTGGATGGACACCATAGCCAACATCAACCAGTGAGTACTGAGCCCACCCTGGGCCCTGGCACTGCCCAGGGCCTCTGTGCCCTCCAGGGACTCTGCCAACCTGTGCTGGAGCAGCTCCAGCTCCTGAATTGTTCTGTTCTGGCACCTAAATTTAAATAAAAATCCCTTCGAAAAAAATCCGACTCAGCTGCTGAAGGTGGAAATCTGGGTGGTGCAGTGTAAACTCAGTGTCGAGGTTTTTTAGTAAGATTTTAATAAGATTGTAATAAGATTTTTATAATGTAAAATATTATATTTTATTTCATAGTAGACTTTAAAGCCATATGGAAAATCCTATAAATTCTCCAGCAATAACCATCACGTTCACCCAGCAATAATGCTGCTGTACATTGAAGTTGTTGGAACAGTTAGGAAATATCTTCCAAGCTGAAAACAAATTATTTTAGTTACTTTATATTATTTATTTTTAAAAGAGCGATTTGTTCAAGAAATAGTGTTGGTTTGATGGTTTTGTGGGAGGTGCTGCTCAGTCAGTATCAGTGTCCAGTGGATGTGATCCAGCAGCTCTAACTGTCCCTGCTGGCTGAAGGGATGGACGCTGAGTTGGTGTCAGGCTTTTGGGACACTTTTTCCATGGATTCAGCCTCATTAAAGGGAAGGTCATGTATTAGGATTTCTCATTTTCCTGGCTGTAACCTCTCCCTCCTTCTCCTCCCCAGAGAACTGATTAAATACGAGTTCTTCCCTGAGGCCACCAGGACTGAAGAGGACCTGAAGAAATACCCCAAATACCCCTGGGGCAGAGACATTTACACCCTGGAAGGTGAGAATTCCTGAGAGGAGCAGCTTTGCATTGCTCCCAGAGATGTGGAGAATATTCCTTGTGAGGAAATGGGGAATAAACGAGCGGTGATTTGAGGAGTGCTGATGTTTTCCTCACCCAGGCATTGTGGATGGAGCTCCCTATTCCATGATCACCGATTTTCCCTGGCTCAGGTCCCTGAGGACAGCAGAGCCCAACAGCTACGCCAGATACGACTTCGAGGATGATGAGAGGAGTGAGTAACTCGGACCCTGCACTCACCTTCCTTTTGTGCCACTGCATCCTTTCCTTTTTCACTTTTCTGCTCCTTACAGTGCTTTGGGTAGATCTGTTGTTAAGGTAGGTTGGAGAGAAGTGAAAAAACTCACAGAAATTTGATATAAAAGGTAAAAACTGGACTTG